TTTGCCGTTCTTCAAGGCTTATGATTAGGGAGCAACACATTCCTACACCAGACCCCTAGAAATAAGCATACCCGAAAGGACCCCTTTATAATAGCTAGAGAAATGGTAAGTATAGTGGCTGTGCGCAGCAGCACACAAGCAGAAGCAAAAAGCTGCCAGGATGTTATAAGTTCCAACTGATGCTGCAGTCTTCTGACTTGATTAAATTGAAGATCTAGTAACTGAGTAGTTTACCTTTATACTCAAAAGAACGACACACACAAAGAGGACAAAAGAATGGCAGAGTTAAAAATACACACACTGCCTCTGGTCCTGACTCACTTCACTTGCAACCTCACTATTGAAGAGGCACAGGCACAGCACACAATCTGATTAGTCACTTTAAGACCTGGCACTTGTACCAGTATCAATCTGTTTAAGGTATTACTTTTAGCTGCCTCACAGCAGTGTTGCAAAAGGTACAGGCTTGGCAAGCTATGCTAGACTTGTTAGACAGAAAAGGAAAGGAAAGTGAAAAAATAAGATATGGAAGAAAAGTGACACGAGAGAGGGAATTACAGCAGACTCACATGTTTAGGATTTGTTGAAGACAGTGGAGGTGGCAATATCGCTGGTTCCTTCTCTGGCCTGGTCTAGCCAGGACACCTTTTAGGATCAGGACAATGAAGACCCAGTGTCATGATAGATCCTGGAGTCTCAGACAGTGGGGGTGGCAGCCATAGTAGTTAATCTTAATCCTTCCAGTGAGTGCACCCTCTGCCTCCATTGAGTGTCTCTCAGATAATGTATCCAGGAAGGGGTGGCAGCCTTACTCCATTAGCCACTCAAAATACATGTTGTTGATTTCAATTGTTTCCTCCCCTTTCTAGGATCTTTCAGCTTGTCGTAACACATGACTTTACCAGGAACCTCAAAGACCCCTTAGCACTCTTTAAAAAACAATCTAGCTTATACCAGTCTATTTGTCTCCAACCGTAGCTGACTTTTACGAACAATTTTTATTTACCAGCGGAGCTGGATTTATCTTGGAAAGTCAGACTACAAGCCTCCACACAACAGCACCTACCAGCTCCAACTGGGTGAGGGCCTCACTGGGCTAGGTTCTGTGGAGTACAATAGTCAGCTCACCCATCTCCATTTACATATGTAGTTTGCGATCTACTAATTACTGAGTTATTTCAGCATGATTGTTCAAGTGCCTCTCTCCTATGAAGTGTTTTGGACCCCTCTTAGAGCAGTGCAAGTGTATTTTCAACCTCTGCCCTCACTATCCTGAGGGCAAGGTCGGGCACTTCAACAGATTTCAATGAAGATACCAATTCAGATTTCTTTGTAGAATACTTCCATTTAATAGAAAAAAACAGACTGCCTTTTAGACAGTAAAGCACAAATATGGCACCAGTCTTCAACAACATAAGCAGCACACTATAGTGGAATCATTCGGGAAGCCAAGAAAGCCATTTTAAGCAAGATGATAAAAAAAAAAAAGACAACTTAAACAGTGCTTTATAATGAATGCTAAGCTCCAAGAGATATATATTATATTAATTTTACCAAACTTCCTTGCAATCACTCAAACTTTTGATGTAGTTCTGAGGATGATTGAGTAAAAAGCCTAATGTTACTTTATTTAAAGTTCTGTACAATAACTAAACAAAAAAGCCACCAGGAATGTAAAAAAAGATATATACAAAATGTACAAGAAAGCCCAACTCAAGTATAGGACATGCACAGTCAGTAAGAAAGAGAGGCAGGACAGAATCATATTTGCTCATCTTCAGAGGATGCACCATCTTCTGTGGGATCTGGAGTCAAGGGACGAGCTCTGTAGGGATAGGAGAGAATTTTAACTTTCAAAGCAAACCAATGTAACTGACAAATATGCTGGTTGAGAGGTTCTTCTAACAGTGCTCTTCAGGAAGCCTGTGACATACAAGACTAATGTATACTAGAATTAGTGGCCCTTAACAGATCTCAGTATTCTCTTGTACACTGATGAAATATAGTAAGGAACCCTCAACTCACTTTTTAGCAAAGCAGCCAAAAGGTAAAAGCCGCTTTAACTAGCCCATGTATAGAGTTCCTAAGAAGCCTTTCCCCTTTGGAAGCTCATTCAAGTGCAGCGGATTTTATGCTGCATTAGGTACCTAGCTAAGAGCCTTCCTTGATGGGAGGAATTGGTTCAGCCACCTTTCCTTCTTTATCTAGATGACCACACACCCACCTTCCATAGCTTCTGTGGAGCTGAGAGGCTATCAACTGAAGTTTCAGGTCTGAGCATAGTAAACAAGTCAGGGTAGGGGGTGGGGGTGGGGTGGGAGCTAGCGTGGGGCATTAGAAGAAAATGGTGTGTGACTAGATCAGGTGTGGGCAAACTTTTTGGCCTGGGGGCCAAATCTGGGTATAGAAATTGTATGGTGGGCCATGAATGCTCATGAATTTGGGGTTGAGGTACGGGAGGGGGAGAGGGCCCTGGCTAGGGGTGTGGGCGCTGAGGTGGGGCCAGAAAAGAAGAGTTCAGGGTGCAGGAGGGGGCTCCTGGCTGGGACAGGGAGGATGGGGTACAGGGTGTGTGTGTGTGCGCACGCTCCAGCTAGGGGTGCAGGTTCTGGGGTAGGGCTGAGGCTGAGGGGTTTGAGGTGCAGAAGGGTGCTCCAGGCTGAGACCGAGGGGTTTGGAGGGTGGGAAGGGGATCAGGGCTGGGACAGGGGGTTGGGGCAGTGTAGGAACAGGAGGGGGGACATGCCACTGCTTCCAGGGGCCATGCTGGAGCACCAGAGCAGGGCAAGCCCCAGACCCCACTCCCCAGCGGGAGCCCATCTCTGGACTAGATGAACAACTCTTGCTTCACTGAAGGGTAAAACCGCAGCACAGAGCATCCAGATGAAGAAGTAGAAACAAGCACACACTAGTCATCTTAAGGAGACAGGGCCTTGGAGCTGGACCGAAAAGCAACTATCTATAGCATAGATTTTCAGCTTGACCTTCCAGTATTGCCAAATAGGCTTGGTGTGAAGAGGCTGAGAACCATTTGTCTACTCTACAGCATACTTCTCTCCCTACACAAAAGTACAGGGTGGGTTGCAGGGAGATAAAACAGTAGAATGGTGATGGATCTGCCCTTCAGTCATCCCTATAGGACCCAGGTTAAAGCCTTTCCTGTTAGGAGTCAGAGGACTCCCAACAAGACCCAAGATGTAGTTTCTGCACTTAGCCCAGTCCCCCCTAGATCTCCAAGGGGAAATAAAGAACCCCCTTCACAGAGTTAAACATCACACAGCCTCTTATTTTAGTAATCCTAAAAATAAGAGTTCTGTAGTCAGCTGAAATGTGAACTAGCTAGGGCAGAGGCACAGCACCTCAGGCTCTGAAATACAAAATATGCAGACAATCTCCACAGATCAGAGTGACACCAAGTTAGAACAGCAAAAGACTACAGATTAAGGATGTTCAGAGCAAAGACTTTACCTAAGCACCTTATTGTTAGTTCATCGGTCTTCAGCTGCCTCCGGAAGAGTCATTGGATTCAAAGGTCAAATTTTAATCACAAGAAACTGATTGCCTTTATAGATTAAGCCAGAAAGAGTTGGATGCACACCTATTAAAAGGTGCCATGGGCTGCTGGACTTTCCCTTCTGGAGGCTACGATCTTAGCCCTTCAGTGACTATTTGCTCCTTGAACAGTGAGCAATTTTCACTTTCATAGCAATGTAGCTCTAAACATACTGCAGTTACCAGTATGTAGAAAGTTGCCCCTCTACATACGCATATCTCCAGTAGAACCTCAGAGTTACGAACTGACCAGTCAACCACACACCTCACTTGGAACCAGAAGTACACAATCAGGCAGCAGCAGAGACCAAAATAAATACATACATACATACAATACTGTGTTAAACGTAAACTACTAAAAAAAATTAAGGAAAAGCAACATTTTTCTTCTACATAGTCAAGTTGCAAAGCTGTATTAAGTCAATATTCAGTTGTATGTTTTTGAAAGAAAAACCACAACGTTTTGTTCAGTTAGGAACATTTCAGAGTTACGAACAACCTCCATTCCCAAAGTATTTGCAACTCTGAGGTATTACTGTACTGCTGAAGGGAGCAGTATGAGCAAAAGCAGAGGCAGGATATAATTCTTGTAAGATAAGGAGAGTAATCATTTATACAAGACGAGAACTGTTGGCTTCCCAAGAAGCATTTGCTACTCCAAGCCCTGTACCTTGCTTTCTGGTAACATTTTCCCATTGGAAAGACTTAATCTGAGGACAGTACTAACATTTATCAGACATCCACTCTCAAGATGGGCCAAAGATGCCATTCCAAGTATTTTATCCAGACAGCCATGGTGCATCCAGCCACCAAGGTTTAAACCAGGCAAAAACCTGTTCATCAAAAGGAAGTGCAACTTTAAAGAATACTGTGCAGTTTACTGTAATCTATTTACCTTTACCCTGCCCCCCCCCCCAAAACAATAGAAGCGTATGAGACAACACAAGGCTACCCCCACCTTCCTTACTGTGGCCTAAATAATGCATGAATTGACCAACTAATTCAGGGTAAGTGTTCCAATGAGTGAGCCATTTCAAATAAAAAGATTTCTTGCATACGCCCTACCTCCTGTCTTGATTACTGCAGTCCCTGCCTCTTCTTCCCAACTTGCTTCCCGTCAGTCCATTTGAAACAATTGCTGCAAATTTCCCATCACGTACCCCTTTGAGTCTAATGTCTATACTGCATTTTGTTTAAGTTTCTTGTCTAGGAGTTCAACTCTGCCCCTCTGCTGAATCTGCTCCAATCATATGCCACATTGTCTGCTTCTTTCACAGCCAACCTCAGGCCACTTCCTGTTCTGTCCACTATGCACTGACACTCCCAGTGGTGCACAGCTACTAAGGAAGTAATTAAAGAAAGTTACTATTTTACCTAGGAAAAATAGTTGAGGCAGAAGTACCATCGTCTGCTTACTTTCAAAACAAGCCAGTGGGCACATTTTGTTCTAATGTTTTGAGAAATGGAGCAGCAATTTAAGATCCAGGTTCAGAAGTCTGCTTTGTTATCTAGTCTAAGCCTTTAATAGAGTTAGATATTATACCCATTGAGGCACTCTCTAGAGTCTCAATAGATTAGGTCAGTGGTTCTCAAACTTTTGTACTGGTGACCCCTTTCACATACCAAACCTCTGAGTGACACACCTTCCCCCCCTTATAAATGCCTGTGACAACTGTTCATCGAACAGAAGAGTGTGCCAAAACTGCACCCTTCTCCATCAGACAAGATATTGTTTTAAGATGGCAGAATCACAGGGGCCAGTAGAAAAGAGAACTCTTTTGCATTTCTTTGTTCAGTGAGTTAGACCTTTGTTGCTTTTGGGAAGTTTCAAGTCTGCATGTTTATACCAGGTACGCACATCAGGTAGAGTCTGAATAGGGTGACCATACATCCCATTTTGGCCGGGACAGTCCTGTTTTTAAGCCTTGTCCCACCCGTCCTGACTTTTTTGGCAAGAGCAAATGGGACAAATGCCCACTTCTGTCAAAAAAGCGGAGGCTGGAGGAATGTGCGGGGAGCAAATGGATATGCCAGCCTCACGCACGGAGGGAGGGAAGAGGAGGAAAAGGCAGGACTCAAGCAAGCAGTGATGCCAGCTCCAGCTTCACGCAGTGGGCAGGCAGGGCTCAGACGAGCAGCAACATCAGCCCTGTGTTGTGCGGGAGCACCTCGGGCGAGCAACTGGGGACAGTTCTGGGGGGAGGGGGCTCAGCTAGCCCCACATGTTGTCCTGTTTTCCCTTTGGGAAATACGGTCTCCCTAAGTATGAGGAGGAAGTCATGTCCTTCATGCCGACATCTTTGATGCCAAAGTACTCAGTTGAGAACAAAAAGTAAAGGATAGTACAAAACCAACAAATCATTTCTCCTCCATATCCCAACAGAAATGAATCCTTACTTCTTAGTAAGCCTTCCTATTCCACTGCTTCCTGCCTCTTCATCATCAGGCATCTGGTTCTCTTTCTCAGCATGTCTTGAGGACTGCCTGAAGAATTCTCCAATCCCTTTTTGCCAGGTTGGTGTTGGTCTCACACATACTGGATTTCCACCAGCATACTTGCTTTCAACTACAAAGGAAATGAGTTTATCAAGCTAGCCATTGAGACAACATATGCTCAGCAATCCTGGACACGTCTCCTAGTTCAATGAGAAAGCAGAATAAATAGCTCACCATAAACCCCTTAACAAACACGGTCACTAATTGATGTTTAACTGCAGCTCCATACCATCACATCCCATCTTCAGACTAACTTCCGGGCAAACTGTTCGCAGTCAGTAGCAAGTTTTGCAGGCTGAATTATGTCCCGTCTTTGCAGTAAGGTATCAAATCCTTCCGTGGAGAAAGCCCAACCCCCTGTTTCGTTAGGGTCCATGGGCGATTAACACCACGCTGCCCTCACTGCACAGCAGGTCTCACACGAGTGTCTGTGAAAAGCCTTGGGGAGCTCACTAAGGGTCGTTGCTATCGCTCCCCGGCGTGTCTCTACCCCCGTTTCCCTGCCCGGCTTTAGGGCTCGGAGCGCCTTCACCGCAGTCCCCGTAGCAGCGCCCCCCGCCGGGTATGGAGGGACCGTTACGGGTCGCACCGCCGGGGGCCGAGTGCCCAGCCCGTTGGGTGAGCGCCCGAGAGACACCCGCAGCTCGGGATAGAGGAGCGAGGGCGGCCCCACGAGGCTCCAACCCGCCGCGTAACCCAGTGTCCTCGGCCCCGCCATGACAAGCGGCCAGTGGGCCCGGGCCCGGCAGGAGCCGACAGGGGACTGGGCCCGAGGAGCTGCGAGGCCAGCGGCAGGCGCCGGCCCGCGATCCCCCACCCCGGCCCAGGCTGCGCGGCCCCAGCAGCGGGCTCCCCGCCCAACCCGGCACTCACCTTTCTTGGCAGGCGGCGAAGGGCCCGCGTTGGCGCTGCTGGAGCCCAGCGCTTTCCGGGGAGCCCGGGCGGCGACCACTGCAAGTGGAGGGAGCGGTTAGTGCCCGGCCGGGGAGCGCTCGGCCCCAGCCCCCCGGAGGCCTGGGCGCCCCCCGCCCCCCACCCGCTCCCACCCGCACCTTTCCGGTAGGCCCCGCCGCAATCTGCCTTGGTCCGCACCATGCCGAGGGGAGGGGGAGCTCGGCCCGCGCGCTGCCTGCAGCGGACAGAGCGGGAAAGAGCCCGCGTTCACACGCCCCTTAGGCACCACACAGCTTTTCCCGCGCGCGCCCCGCGGCGCGCTCCTATTGGCCGGGAGCGGAGCCAGAACCGACCACTCAGTGGTTCTCTGCGGCAGGCGTGGGCGGGGACTCGCTCTCGCCCCGCTTCCCCATCCCTACTGCGGTGGGAGCAGCTATCGCTGTGATGAGCTAGTCAGTGCTCGCCCGGCCCCTCCCCCACTCAGCAGAGCCCGCGCCCTTCCCTGGAGCAGGAGCGATCAGCCCAGCGCCGGCTCCCTGGCCCAGGCACGTGTCTGGGAAGGGAAGTAAAGTCCAGCTGGCTGGTATGGCACCCAGCACTGGACAAGCATGCAGCTGCTGCAACACAAGGGGGAGGGGGGCTAGGGTGACCAGATGTCCCGATTTTATAGGGACAGTCCTGATTTTTGTGTCTTTTTCTTATATAGGCTCCTATTACCCCACACCCCCATCCCGATTTTTCACACTTGCTGTTTGGTCGCCCTAAGGGGGCAGAGCTGCTCCACCTAGAGCTAGGGGTGTGGGACCAATTTGTATAGTGGGGGTGCTGAAAGCCATTGAACCAAACTGTAAACCCTGTATCTGATGAAGCTATGCAGTGCGGCAGGACCCTCAGCTCCCCTAGTTTCAGCACCTATGTCTAGAGTTTGTCTACACTACACCGGGAATTTGACCAGTATAGCTATTGCGCAATAACTCCCCCTATAGACACTCTATTCCAGAATAAAAGTCACTCTATGCTGGTATAATTAGTGAACTTCTAAAACTGGAGTAATTATTCTGGGGGGAAAATCATTTTTATTCCAGAACAGAAAGTCCAGATGGGAATGTTGCCTGCCTAAAAAGGCCTCGAGATGGCAAACAGGGGTCCGTCGCCCGGTGTGCTTAGCACCAATAAAGACACCGAGGGGAGAAAGCAAGCCAAGTTTATTTCAGAGCTCTGAAATGGCACTAGGAGACCAGCATGTCTCGAATCCAGTGCAACAAATACAAACAACTTTTACCTTTTATACTTCAAGCAGTTTCTGTGTAAGCCTTTGTCTGTTAACTCCCTCTTACACCTCCCACCCCTCCCTTCTCTAGCCGTTACAATTAGAAAAGTTCTCATTCGTCTGCTTATCTTTTGGCCTTGCAAGGCCTGTTTACAGCAGTCTGAGCAAAACAGCAGCTGTATGCTAGAGAAACGCTGACCCTTACATTTTTGCTCCAGCCTGTAAGCAGTGAGCCTAGAAGTAGGTGAGAGTTCACAAGATGGAGTTTGGGGGTTCCTGATAGGCCCAGAGCAAAAGAGCTTCATCGACACTTTGGCCTTCCACTCTCCCGAGTTACCTGGTAGCTATGCCTAGTAGACCCCAACAGGAACAGCTGTTACTAAATAGCTTATTCTACAATAACTATTCTAGTCAATTTCCCCATGTAGACAAGCCCTAGTATAGCTGCTGACTGGGAGTGCAAAGGAAACCTTCTGAATGTGATCTGGAGGTAAATCAATGGAGTGGTGTCTTGCTGAATCTTGTAAACTGCCTTGAATAATAGAGTTAAAGAGGTGTTGTGATGGATCTGCAGCTGCCCTGTAATAATACTGCACATTAGTCTAATTATGGGGATGTTTACTGTCTGAGTATGTTGAGTTAGCTCAATAGAGGACTGTCTAAGGAATCTTGCTGTTAAGCCTATATGGTTAGTTTTCACTAGGGTGGACTGAGGCCCACCAAACACAGGAGAACAAAGAGCTCAAGCTGGGCTTAAAGAGGAACACTCAGGAGGAGGGGGATACAATGGGATGGGGGGAACCAGACTACATATAGGAAGCTGGAGGGGTTGTCTAGAGAAGATAGGTCTGCCTAGCTCACCATGCACAGCTAGTAGAGCTTTAGGTAAGACAAAAACAATGAGGAGTCTGGTGGCACCTTAAAGCTTTTGTGGGTAAAAAACCCACTTTTTCTGATGCATGCATTTTTTCTCCAATGTTTTGTCTTATTACTAAACAAACTATACTTGTGTTTTAAACAGGCCGTTCTGTCACATTATTCCACTGGTCACAGTCTCAAAGGGAAGAACTCAATTGGATCTGCAGGGTTATAGTTGTTGGCACAGAGAGTGCTGTAGTACAGATCCTGGTCTAAATTAGAATTGAAAAATTCTACTCCAGGAGAGATGAAGGAATTAGGCCTGGCACCAGTAGGGATGCACTTGGAGAGACCAGAGTAGGGGTGCAGCTAGCTCTGTGACCCTGATAGATGTGAACTGCTCCATATAGCTCAATGGGGAGATAAGCCCTAAATAGGGCCATTCAGGGGCAGCTCCAGCCTCTTCCCAGTGGGGTAGGGGGTCTGAGGCAGTCTAGACTGAAAACTATGGGTTGTGCCTCCCCTCACCACAAAGCTCCCCCTGGTGGCCCCACCTTCTGTCCCTCGCAGTGGTTCCCAAACGGGGGTTCGTGAACCCCTGGGGGTTCGCAAAATGTTACAGGGGGTTCTCGGGAAAAAATTCCCTAATGGCGGACAGAGCTGTCCCTAGGGATCCTGGGCAGCACGGGGCCAGCAGCCCGCAGCCCCTGGACTTCCAAGAGCTCAGCAGATCAAAGCAAGCATATCTATCACACTGAGGAGATTTAAACTTCAAGACTCCTTATAAGAAACGGAAAGGGAGGTGAATATTTTTTGCTGTCTTTAAAATTAAATAGGCAGCTAGTATTGTTTTTAAAATTATTATGAAGAACAAGTTTAAGCTTTGTTGTAACGTGCGCTGTTTGCCTGGACTGCTCAAGACCTGAATGCTTGTGTAGGAGGAACTCTTTTGAGTTGGCTTCTTAAATACCTTCATGCTGTTTCACATCTGATACTCCTTGATGAAACATAGGAGCCTTGTCTTATAACAGGCTTATTCAAAGTGATACAAGGTACGAAAGTGAGATCTTGGAAGAGTGTTGCCGTTTTCATAATGTAATAAAAATACTGTAATGATAAATAATAATTAATAATAAATAGTGTGTAATAAGCATGTCATAAAAACAAATTTTATATTTCCAAGATCACTGCTTTTATAATTTATACTCAGGTAAAGGAGAAAATCCCTGGAAATATTCATTTTTAAGAGGGGGTTCGCAAGACTTGACGTGCTAGTGAAAGGGATTCACAGGCTATTAAAGTTTGGGAACCACTTGCTCCTCAGGTAAGTACCAGCGCCACCTCCTCCCCCTAGGCTCCCCCCAGCCAGGTCAGAAGCTGGAGTCTGGCAATGCAGGGCAGCTGCTTGGCTGTGCCATGGTGCAGGAAGCTGTGTTGCTCCCCTGTCTCCTCCTCCTGCCACTGCTGTTCGGGGCCCCGGGGCTGTGGCTGCTCCTCAGCGCCCTTTGACTGCTCACAGCCTAGGTGGGGGGACCCAGCTCCGGGGCCAGCAGAGCCCTCGGGTAGCAGCGACTGGGGAGGGAGGACCCTGGGCTAGAGCAAGTAACTGCATTGTGCCCAAGTAGAGGGGACATAGGCCAGGGTTGCTGTCAGGCCACCACCCGGGGTTCACGGCAGCACTGCCTTCAGAGCTGGGCAGCCAGTGAGCATTCTTTTCATGCTTCATTTTAACTTTTTGAAAAATTGTACTTAAGTAGATTTTCAAAAACATCAGTCCTGAGTCTCAACTACCTTGTAACTTGTGACATTATAGATACCTGTGAAAAGCAAGTGCAAACTAGGAATCACGTTACCGCTCTGATTTGGAAGTATTTTATACTCACTTTGCACAAGTACAAATAATGACATGTGGTGGTGTGGCAGTGCAAAATTAGGGCTGGTGTTTATTATGTTGTCTAAGGCATCAAGCCCCTTGAAAGATGCTAATAAAATAATTAGGCAGTAAGTAATAAAAAAAATTCACAATTATTCAATGGGATTATTTGTGTGTTCTGCACAGCCCTGTGGGAGACCTAGGTTCCACCTCTGGTTCTGGTCCCTTACTTCCTGAATCACCAAGAAAACCCTATCAGTTTTCTCCATCCCATCTGTAGGGCCCCAAATTGTGACACTCATGCTTCTGGCCAAGAAGGCCTAGATGGGGCTTTCTTTGATGGGTCAAGTTGCTGCTGAGTGAGATATTCCCTCATCTCTCCAGAGGCCTCTAAACAGCACTCCCAGGGCTTCTCCTCTCCTTTACACCAGTTTTACACCACAGTTCAGCCATTGACTTCAGTGGAGTTGTCTTGAGTTACACCTATGTGACAGGAGAATCGGGCCCCTAGTCAGTGATTAACTATGACTGTTCAGAGATAGGGAGTGGGCTCCAGAACTGGGTTTCTGGCACAGCATTAGTGCTGCTGCCTGCTGTTGTTAGGCACAAAGATCTGGTATTGTGATTATGGGATTCAGAGACACAGAGTCTGTTTACTGCTTTCTCTAGTAAAATAGGAGCTTCTTCCTAAACAGTCCTGAGATAATGGAGGAAGATCAAGGTGTGTGTGCAGTTCAAAGGCACTGGCGCCGGTGGCACAAGGAAAATAACTCTAACAGCCTACACACAGCCAACCCAGGAGTGTGCACTTCACTTAACTCTTCCAACACATATGAGGAGTATGCTTGGCCAATACCCTCCCATGCACCCAGTCAGGCCCCTCCCAACATCACACAGCTGCAAGTGCCCTGACTCTACCCTGGCGCACATGCAGAGAAGTGCCTGCCTTGTTGCAACTTCCCTGTTACTACCTAACCCACTCCCAGTAAGTGCTCAGTCCTTACCTCTGTCCCTTCAGATTGTGGATCCCTGACACCACACTCACGCCCATGAAGATGCTGAACCCTCTCATTGCCACCCCTCCTTCCCACCTAATTGGTCTGTTACCAAAATGTAAGCATTTCTATTGCAACATCTTTGTAGTATCTAGGCCCCAAATGCAAAATGCAGAGCCCCCATCTTGGTTGTCTAGAAAGGACACTGCGCTCCCCTATTCTTAGGTTTAGTCACTGCTGGGAAGTTTTGTGTTTTGGTTTTTCTAAATTCATTCTTCTGCCCTCATTATGGGAGGGGAGGGGGTGTTTGGGTAAAATTCTGGAGTTTGCCGTTGGCTTCAATAGGGCCTGGATTCTCCACTTTGGGAAGAGGTATGCATTTCAGGGTTGGGCTCAGTCTGATGCCTTGAAATTCCAGTCGAGGCCCCTCTGATAAAAAACACTCTGCCCTTTCTTTTAGAGGTTCTACCTGGGCTCTGCTAGCTGCAGCATCCCACTGAGATCAGCTGTCTTGGTGGGTTGCAGATGGAAGGGGGGC